AACAGAACACTATAAATTTATTAGAAAAATTATAGGAGGAAGTCTCCAGAATCTAGGGCTCGATAATGATTTCATAGAATTGACATCAAAAGCATGATCCATAAAAGGGAAGGATGATAAACTGGGCTTGCTATACTATGAAAGATCCTGTTAAAAGGATGAAAAGACAACCTGCAGACTGGAAAAAATACAGAAATTAATTGTAAGTTATATATCTGACAAGGAATGAGTATCTGGAATATATAAAGAACTGTCAAAAGTCAGCAGTAAAAAAACATCCAATTAGAAAAGGACAAAAGACAAGAACAGACATTTACTGAGGAGGATTTACAGATGGCAGTTAAGCATATGAAACGATGCTCAAAATGATTGGTCAAGAGAAATACAAATGAAACTACAATGAGATGTCACTATATACCTATCAGAATTACTAAAATAAAAAGTAGCAACAACACCTGAAGTTGGTGAGAATGGATGGAGACCAGCTCATTCATACATTGTGGGTGAGAACGTAAAATGGCACAGCTACTCTGGGAAAGTTTGGCAGTTTCTCATGCAACTAAAATTGCTCAAATCCCACATGGCCTGGCAATGGCAGCATTCTGGCTGCATTTACCTTAGAGAAATGAAGACTTATGTTCAGAGAAAAAAACTTGTGCATGAATGTTCACACTAGTCTATTTGTAATAGCTCAAAATTGGAAAGAACTCAATATCCTTTAATAGGTGAATCATTCAACAGTCTGGTATATCTGTATCATGAAATACTGCTTTGCAATTAAAAGGGAGAAATTATTAGTAAACATAACAATTTAGATGGATCTCAAAAAATTATGCTGAGGAAAAAAAAGCCAACCCTAAAAGGTATATGATTATATAGTCTATGACTATATTTATGTAACGTTTTTGGGATAACAACATTATAGAATCGGAGAACAGATTCATGGTTGCCTGAGATAAGTAGGTGCAGTTATAAAAGGGCAACACAAAGGATCCCTGTAGCGATGGAGTTGTTCTGTCTCTTGACTTTGGTGGTGGTCACTTGGGCATACACGTGATACAGTTGTGTAGAGAACTAAGTGCAGACACATGGAGATGGATGGTGGTGGTAGCTGCACAACATGAAGTTATTTAATATTACTGAACTGTACATTTAAAATGGTTAAAATGGTAAATTTTATGTGTATTTTACTACAATAAAAAAAGGAAAAGAAAGGTATTTCTCAAGGATTGAGAGATGAGCAGGCCTATAAGTTTGTGCTTACCAAGCAGCCTATTTCTTTTTTAATATTTCCAACCTGTCATGTAATAATATGTAGTCCTACTGTGTATGGTCACTGTGTGGTTCTGACTACAAATGACACATACTTTCAAAAACATCTCAACTTTTCTCTATGCTGCTCAAGGTGAGAAGTCTGTCAGTCATGTTCTTGAATACTGGAGTGTTACACGGACACCTTCGATGTCTCTAGTTTTCTTATCACAGACTGGTAACAAAGAGTTGCATGAACCACATTTGGGCAAGTGTCTGAATCAAAGTGTAGATTGATGGACCTATAAGAATTTCAGAGAGATAGAGTTCAGAATAATTGTTCCAGGATCGTGTAATTTGCTGGTTTTAGGAGCTAACACCAGGGCTCTCCTTTGGTGTTGCAGATATGAGTCCTTTTTTGGCTACAAATACTCTGATTTTCTTCTGAGCTTATAAAGGACCTCTTATGCTGGAAGATGAAATTGTCAACACTTGTTTTCTCAGATTCCTCTGCAGATGGGCTGTGTGCCTTACCTTTATTCTGCTCATAAGGTGTACCTGCCCCAGAGTCTTTGGGCTGTTGGGAACGTGAGGAACTCTCTCTGCTGCAGTGACTGCAAGGCCAAGGCCATGGCACTGCATGGCTGCAGGGCTCATGGTGCTGTGCTGTGGCCAGCACAGCTGGCTTTCTGCTCCCTTTCCGGAATTCAGCAGCTGGGGCAACAGCATCTGCACTAGCATTTGCATCAAAACTCTGAGCATTTTTCTGGGTTATTTTTCCTCATTCTGGTTCCCTGGCCTTCTGTTTATCATGTTCAAGGCAAGCAGGTCAGCAGATATAGGAAAGTGTAAAGAAGAAAAATAAAATCATTAGTCACACCATTGCCAAAAATAACATTTAAATGAGTTCCCTTTATATATATTTTGTTCTATGTAAGAACTTTTTAAAACAAAATTGTATTTTTTCACATTCTGCTTTTTCCTCCCTTTGCATTCTACTATTTCCATTTAGTGACAATTGTATGCAAACATGATTTTAAATATTTGCATAATGGTTTAAATGTACCAACAGTCTGTAATTGTTAGTAACTTGGGCAATTTAGTTTTAAGTAAGCATTTGTTATTTATATGATAATTTATTATTTACATATATATAATGTTATTTTTATATACAAATATAAACTAAAAATGACCCAAAAATCTCACTAGTCAGATAATCCCAGTTGGCATTAAAAATTAATAAAACCCACATGGTTAGAAAATTCAAGCCAAAAACTATAGAAATTTACAAAAATGAAAAACAGAAGCTCCCTTCTACATTCTTCTGCATCCTAGATTCTTTACCCCAAAGTTAAGCACTTTAAAAATGTCTTATTTCTTTTCTAGAATTTTTTTTATTTCTGTAGCTACATAACTGTGTATATTTATAGATTTATATTTTATTTACACACAAAAAACTATATTTCCCACATTGTCCTGCACCTTGTGTTTCTCTATTAACAATCAGTTTTGGAGATTTTTGTGCAGCATTTCTTAAAGTGATGCATTCCTTGCTCTCTAAATGTGTCTTCAATTCCAGATCTGTTACTCAGTCTTGCCTGCAATATCATTGGCTCTTCCTCTAGTTTCCTAGATGTGAGGTAAATAGGTGTGTCCCTTGTATGTCCTCAGATCTTGCCAGCCCACAATTCTTCAGCTCTTAGCCGCTACTTGCACACTTGTAGGATCTCTAACCTCAACTTCCTTAGTCTTCCCAGTAATTTGGGGAGGCCCAGGGTTCTCACACAGTCTCAGAGCCAGACTTCTTTAGCTTCTATTTCAGTGTACAAAGTCTCTTGAAATCTGTGCCAACCACTGTCCCAGGGCTGATGCCCTGGGAAAAGGCCTCCTCTGCTCTGTCCAGGGCACTGTCTTCCAGGGTGGACAAGGTGTGTCTAATCAGTGCTTGGAACCTCCATGGATTTGCACATATATAGGTATATACATATGTGTCTATGGGTGTGGGTATACTCAATAACACACACTATGAAGAATCAGTCCTCTCAGTTGCTGGTTTCTACTATAGAACAGCCACCATTTTGGCATGTGACTGTCCATATTCTTGCTCATTCATCTGTTTGCTTATGGTGTTGTATAGTTCTATGAACACTTATCTGGAATGGAGGAAACCTTTGTTTTGGCTGCAGATGATTATGCCTTTCTAATCCCTGTTTTCTATGGAGGGACAGTGAATTCTCACAGTGGTGGCTGGGTAAGAACACATTTTGATGAAGGAGAGGGTTACTTATCTGATGTATAACCTGAGTTTCCAGGATATGTGTCCCAAGGAAGAAACATGTCTTATTAAAAAAAAAAAAAAAAAGGGGGCAAAAAAAAAGAAAAAAAAAGGAAGGAAGGGAGAAAGAAAGTGAGAAAGAAAAAAAAAGAAAAGAAAAGAAAGAAAGAAAAAGAAAGAGAGAGAGGGAGGGAGGAAGGAAGGAAAGAGGGAAGGAGGGAAGGAATAAGGGATGGAGGAAAAGTTCATCTCTGTTCTCTTACCACCATTGTAACCATTGGAAAAAATTCTCCAAGCTGCATTCAGCAGATTGAGGGTTAGCAGGATTCACAACTATTTTGTGAATGTCTTTGTATTCACAACTATTTTGATGCTGATACTGCTGTCACCTCTGCTGTCATCCTCTCCTCCTCATTATTGCTGCTACCACTGGCATTGTTTGTATTGCCATTCCAGATTCATGCTAAATGAATCAAGTAATCTGAAAATTTGTTTGAGTCACACATTGTGAAACATGAATTTGGAATAATTTCCTGAGAAAGCCTGGGTGCAGAATACAAATATTTTGAATGGACTTATCTTAGAGTTGTACTGCTATTTTTCCTTGTCATTTTAAAACCCTTAATATGAATAAATTGTTTGTACAGTGGAGCTTTTTTTAAAAAAAATCCTTAGATAAGAAATACACGGTTTGAAAGCAGAGAACAAAAACATGAATGATAATGTACGCAATGCCTGCTAGAAGGTCCTGGCTGCTGCTCCCGGGCAGGCGTTATAATCGCCTATTTGGCGTGTTTATTTCAGGCTGCAGATAGTGGATGAAAGTGCCTGGTAGGTTGCCAGCACATGACTTAGTTGCCAAATGGAGTGTTTAGTACTTGTTACATTTGATTTATATCACAAGTTCTTCCCATTAACAGTCTACTGGTGATAACCTACTTGGCTTTTCATGTGGTTACTTTAAAACAGCCACTTGACAACATTTGGCATATCACAAAGTTTAATGCTGAATAAAGGAGTGAGTGAATGGCTACACAGGTTCTCCTCTATGCTGATACGGTGCTTGGTGCAGTCTGAGTACCCATTCTGTTCATTGATCCTGTATATGTGTGTCTCTGATTCACAGTACCATGGTAAGGTCCATGGATTTGAGACTTAAAGGGCTGGTGAAAGGTATAGAGATAGAGAGAAATAACAGTGCTTAATGTCTGATGGGCTTGCATTTGTATGGAGGGAGACACTCGGCTCACCTGTATCACCGTTTAAGTGCAAGTTTGAATGATGTGGAAGACGGAAGGCCACATCAAAACAGCATTGATTCTAAGTCAGTGTGACCTCGTAGTGCTGACAATTTCTGTAATATCAAGTCTGTTTTTTGTTTTGTTTTGTTTTGTTTTTAACAAGTTTACTTCTGGAAACTTGGCCCTAGATATATAACAAAATGTGCCTTAAATATGGTGATCTTTATTTTCAGATTGAAAACTTGCAAGAGCAACTTAGGGATAAAGACAAGCAACTGACCAATCTGAAAGACAGAGTGAAGTCCCTGCAGACAGATTCCAGTAATACAGATACTGCCCTGGCAACGTTGGAGGAGGCTTTGTCAGAGAAGGTGAGCTTGGGCTAAAGAGCAGGGTATTGGAATTTAGGGAAACATGGGTGGGAGGAGATATTCCAGATGCATTGAAATGTGCCAGCTTTTTTTCATGCACTCACAGTACCCACAGCCCCAGCTGGGCCACCAACTCCCATGCTAGTCCTCTTCAGTAGACCTGGCACACTGAAGCCAGGGTGTCTTTTGGAAATGCAAACCTGATCCCCTCACCTTTGGCCCTGCTTAAAAACCTTTACTCACTTGTCATTGTTCTTAAGATGATAAAAAGTGCAATCTTTAACCTGGCCCATAGAGTCTGTCCCCTCATCTGATCTGGCACTTATCTGACTAACCACCTCTCTGCCTGTCTTACTCCTCTTTCTCTGCCACCCTCCCTCCTTTTCCCTTTCTCCCTTTTTTCTCCTCCACTCCCTTCTTTTTTTTTTCTTTCTTCCTTCTTTCCCTCCTTTCAAGCTTCATCCCACATCTCTCTTCCCTTGTTTTCTGTGTTGTAACTATACTGGCCTTCTAGATTTTCAGCTCTACCATTCTCCAACCTGCCTCAGACCCTTTGCACATGCTATTGCTGGCCCTCGAATGTTCTGCACTCTCTGTAACCTTAATTCCTCTTCTCTGAGAGCTCAGTTTCCTGAGAAGCCATATTGCACAGTAGTTAAGAATATGGACATTGGAGTCAGACTGCCTGGCTTCAAATCCTAGGTCTGACATTTACTACTTTGGACAAACTACTTAACCTTTCACTTCCTCAGTTTATTCCTCACTGCTGATTTAGAACAATAGGTATAATACATTATAGCTGTGTTTATTATTATTATTTTATGAGTTATTTTCTCAGGGAACCCTCTTAGGTAAAATTCTTCATTACATGCTCATGAATACCATGAACTTCCCAGAGCTCATGTTACAGTCTTAATTGTGCTTTTGTCTGTTTTTATGTGATTAATTGGTCTTCTCTGCTAGACTCCAAGCCCAAGAAGTGCACCCACATTAGTGTGCTATTTATGTATGTTATCTTGCCTTCACCCTGTGCCTAGTATAATAATACCTGCACAGGGAAACACTCAGCAAACACTGGCTAAGCGAGTCCCCACTGTGTGACAGGCATTGCTGTGGGCACCAGAGATGCAGCAGAGAAGAAAATGAGTGAAAATCCTGGGTCTTATGGAGTTTAGATTCTAATGGGGTGGAGGAGAAACAGATGATAAATAAGTAAAATACATGGGATTTCAGAAGTCAAGTAACTCCCTCTTCCAGGGCCTCAAACTTACCATTTGTGGAATGGGGAAATTAGATTAAATGGTCACACAGGTTTTGTAAACCAGTGTATCTTAAAGAGGAATTCTTTGACTTTTTCGGAATTACCAGGAGGTGCTTGTTGAAAATTTAAATTATTAAGTCCCATCTACACCTACTGTATCAGAACCTTGTGTAGGGCCTGGGAATCTGCATTTTAGCTACCTCCCTAGGTCATTTTGATGTACACTGCAGTCTGAGAACCACTGATCTATGTTAAAAATATAGGAGAGAAAAAGGGAGTCACATTCTATGGCTAGATAGTCTTCATGTTCCTATTAAAAGTTATATGGTTATAAATTTAGGATTACATTATAAGATATAAGGTTTTATTTGAAGACTTATAAGAAGAGTAAATATAGTGATATTTCAGGGAAAGATATTCTTCTCTATTTAGTTTTCAAGATTGTATTTCAAAAAAAAAAAAAAGAAAAGAAAAGAAAGAAAAGGATCGTATTTCCAAAGCTCACTGTAATAATTTCCTTTGTAAAATTTGAATGAGGGAGTGTTGGTTCAAAATTATTAATGATTCTGTATCCCTTTTGCAGCTTTTGAGTGGTAGGATGTCAGCCTATTTGTACCTCTTCATTTCTTTCTCCCAATTTAAAGAAGTAAACATACCATATAATTTTCCATGTCGTGAATTCTTGGCAGGACTTTATCATTTTTTTTTCCCTTGGCTCTATTAAGGTTTGATTTATTCTAGTTTAAATCCCAAAGAATTCCCAAATCTGAAACTACTCCCTTCCTTAAGCACTTCCTCTGAGGCCAGGGGGATGACTGGGAAGGACAGCTGGGATCTGTGGGAGTCTGGCTCCTCATCCTGCCTCCACTGCATGATAATTGCATCAAGTGGGGCAAGCCTCTTCCACTGAAAGTGTCTCCCAGTACCTTATTTTCAGAATGAATGTTTAAATTGGTTAATATCTAAGTTCCATTCTCAATTTTGGAACTACTATGACCATAATTGTTCAATTTGCTGATCCTCAGTCTCAGGCACATGAAATCTTAATTGGACCATAGATGAGGAGTTGAGAGCTTAGATGTTTCCTGAAAGGGCTGGCAGGGAACAAAAATGAGGAAAGTAGGTTTGGTGTGATGTCGTAGGGACTACTGGCAACTATGGTGAGTCAGGTAGTCCTTGACCTCTCTCAAAACACTCAAGTTCAGATTTTTAACAATTAGAATGCTCAAGCCAAACAAAATAACTCTGTGAGCTAGTTTTGATCCATGAGCTGTTAGTTTGCAAATGCTATTTACATCTGATTTTTTTTTTTTTTTTTTTTTTTTTGCCTTTCCCAGTAATGAGGAATAAAAGCAAACAGAGCAATTTATTTAGAGGGAATTTTCTAAAGGTGCCAAAACCGCAATGCTCGTGTATTTGAATAACACAGATAAAATCATTGGATAGGAAACGGCAAGGCCCTCTATCACAGGACAAAGAACAAGAGTAGTAGATTTCAGTATTTATTCCAATGGGTATCAAACTTCTGTGTGCATCCAAGTAATCTTATCATTTAAGGAGCTTCTTAAAATACTGTTTCCCAGGTTCTATTTCTTAGTGATTCTGATTCAGTTGCTCTGCTGGGGGGCCAAGAAACCTGTGATTTTTAACAAGCATGCCCAGTGATTCTGATGCACATGGTCAGAAGACCATACTTTGATAAACACTAAATCTATGCTCTATCATTTTAAAGATGGGAAAAGGGCTCAGTGAGGTAAAATGACTTGCTCAGAAATAAAATTTAGGAGATGCGCTGCATCATTTGCCACGTCTGAGCCCTGCACAGACATCATTAATCAACCTTGGTACAGCTTATTTCTAACCCAGTACTCCAGGAAGTCACTTATGCTCTAAGGTGACCCTTGGTTGGAACACTGTTGCCTACCCTGTATTATCCCAAGTCTGCTCAGCTCAGGTGTGATGGAATAGGACTTAATCTCAATCAAATCTTCTAGTCTTTGTGCTTTTGACACCATCATCTCCTTAATGGCATTTGCCTCATAAGCTATTAATTTTATCCACATATAATTGAATAGATCCTCTGGAATAAGACATGGTAAAAAAAATAAAATGGTTAATAAACAATTATGGATTCATAAGAACATTTAAGTATTTACTATCTTTCGGCCAATGAATAGAACCCTTTAGGCATTATTTGCCATTCCACTTGGGTTATTACATCCCAGGGAGTGTGTTACTCCTTTTAATTTCCAGGAACTTATTCATATATTCAAAGCTTGCAAAAAGTAATACCACTTAGCAAGTTAAGATTGAGTATGACCTCGTTCTGGGATTGACACACAGAAGCTCAAAAGACAGAAGGCATGGTGTTTATAAAGCTGGTCTCCCAAGCCTTGCTGTAGCCACATACTAGATAAGCAGTCAGAAAGCCAGATAGCAGTGCTGGAGGCCACTGCAATTCAGTTCCCACCCAGTGATAAAGCACAAAGAGATTAGACCTGTGCAGAGCCAGATGAGTGCACAAGGAACACTTGCCAATGCAAATAAGACTAAAACAAGAACACATTGTTGGAATTTCTACAAGTTAGCTGTTAATCAAGTAGATCATGGCATATTAAGGCTTTTTAACACATGTTTTTGACATCTGGACCTGTGCGGCTGACAGTTAAATTACTTTTGTGATTGACGGAGAAATATTTTGGAGTATTGAATCATCAATAACACTTAAAAACGTTATACTGCTTGCTGATGTTTTTTGTCATCAATGCCCAGTCAATAGTACAAGTGCTTAGAGCAAATCAACCTTCTTTCCAAATGATTCTGACACCTTCTAGATGTTAACACACATACTTAATTTCATTTCCCTTCCTTTGAAGACAAGATGATCCCTAAGTTGAGTTCTTATTTCTTCCATCAGCCTTTTTAATTGCCTGTTGTATGCCAGACAGCTCGTCCAGCCCTTTGGATTAGAGTGCTGCCCTTTGAGAAGCTGGCCTGGGAGGTTGGGCTTGCAGTAAACCACGGGCATGGTGCTGAGTGGGAATAAGTGCCACATGTTCGGGCCAAAGTGATCCTTGGGAAGCTTTCCAAATAGTGAGGTGACATGGTCAGTTTGGGGCTTTAAAAATGTCACTCCAACAGCCATGTGGTAGAAGTGATGAGATGGAGAGGGCCTGGTGGCCAGGTGACCAGTCATGAGGCTTTGTAGTAAGTGTAGGCAAAAGGCAGTGAGGGCTCATTTGCCGAAATCATTGAAAGCCCTTGAGAGACTTAACATACACTGAGGCCATTTCCTTCTTTTGTAGATCACATAATCATCCACTTACCATCATCACAGACAAAGTCAAATAGGGCTGTGACTGGAATCAAGAAGAAAAAAATATAGGCAATTAATAGACTCATTTATTCTATTTCCACTCCAACTGTAGTAATAATATACTTCATTTTAAAGTATTTTTAAATAATTGCAAAACAATAAGGGTATTTTTCCCCCTTGAATGCATTAGATACATAAATTATTGTCATTGAGGTAGAACAGTTGCTTCCCTGAGGGATCTTAAATCACAGACCAAGTGTTCAAACTAACTTCTCTCTGTATTAAACACTGATCTACAGTTGTCTTATGTATCAGGAATTGTCTTTTACTATGTACTTATAAAAATATAAAAGATAATATCAGGGTATTTAAGCATCATTGTTGCACCAATATTTTTTAACAATGACATCCAAAAGGAAGTTCAGATATATGTTGGGTGATTTGAAACCAACTTTAGGAATCTAACTCAAATTCTCCCAAGTGGAATTTTCTTTAAAAAATGAAGGTTCTTATTTTGATATTGGCAAGCTTGTACAGTTTGGGAAACGTGTCTACCAGAGTAGTATTTTTATTTCAGTATGAAAGTCAAGGGCAGGCAGGTCCTCAGATCTCCTTGAATGTCTCCAGGCATATGTTTATATCAGCGTGGTCTCTTAGGCTTGGCTAAGGCTATGAAGAACTCTGGATGTCAGGATGGGCCTTCTGTTTTTGAGCTGAGCCACCTTGGATGAGTCAGGTACCTTTCTGTGCCTGGGTTTCCTTACCTCTAAACTGCCCCCAGCAGCAGTGCTTCAGACCTCACAGTTGCAATGAGGACTAGGTAAGTGGGCACATCACTATGCCTAAAGTGTAGTTAAGTTGTCAATATAGGAAAGCTGCTCTGTGAACTTCACTCAAATTCAAGCAATGGTTTAGAGTCTCCACTGATTACCAGGAAGCCATTGAAAAAATCCAGAAGTGAATGAACATCTTCAGACCCATTGGGAAACCACTTATATACTGAGCTTATTTTTCATTTTGTTTCAAGTTCTCACTGTGAGTCAGTCCTAAGTCCTGAAGGGCCTAGGTTGTGCCCCACTCCAATCCCCTTTCCAGTCATAGAAAAGGCTTCAGAAACCAAGCAAAGTCCTTTGACATCAGATGGGAAAGCCAAGCAAGGAGGTTGGAGCCAAGAGGTTGCCTCTGCCTCTTCCCATGTCCAGACAAGGCTTTGACACATCCAGAGCCTTGGTACCTGAACCTCCCTTTTCTGGAATTACTCTTGAAATTTTCTAAGTACCAAGAACCAAAACAGCCTCAGAGCTTGAACATTAATGTCCCTTGCAACTCCATGATGCTAACTTTTATTAACAAGCCAAAAGCTGTATTGTCTGTTATGCCTCTCTTCACAAACCCAATTTTTAATAATATCTCTGTGTTTAGATTCTTGGAGGGAATTTCTTACATGTATTGCTTCATTTCTTTTTGTAGCATGTATTGGTGTACACACTGATGGGTTCTCACCTCTTCTTTTTTTGACAATTGTCTCACAGGAAAGAATAATTGAACGTTTGAAAGAACAGCGGGAGAGAGATGATCGGGAAAGACTAGAAGAGATAGAATCTTTCCGAAAAGAGAACAAAGATCTGAAAGAGAAGGTCAATGCTTTGCAAGCTGAACTGACTGAAAAAGAGGTGAATTTTTAAAATACAAATGAAGCATGTTTCTGGTCCTCATAAAACCATATTTATGGCAGCCTCAAGAGACTAGAGACTTAGTTTGAGGAACTTTGTGAAGGTTTGGGGAACATAGTTACCTCTCCTTTGTAAAGCTGTCTGAATTCAACGGAAAATATTTACTATATCTCTCTTCATCAGCAATGCTCAATATACCTCTTCACTACTAAATGCATAGGATGTAGATCCTTGAAATTCTTCTTGAAGTCATATCACATTTGTGTGGCTTAGAGGATTCTATATTCTTTCAGTATCCATTGATTTTTTTGTTTCAGATAACAACAAAACATTAATAATAATAATAGCAGCTCCACTTTATTGAAGTTCTTTTACATGTTAATTCTTGGTTTGGGTGATTTACATTCATCCATGCTTCTGAAAAGGATCGCTCAGTAATTACCCCCAGGTTAAGAGATTTGGTACCAGGCTGGACACAGAAGGTATAGGTGAAATGTGGCTGCTCTTCTGAGACATCGTTTTTGTGTTGTGGTAAAAATTTGAAACAATATTTTCACATTAGAGCAAACATGGAAACAGAAAACAGATCTCATCTGCATTTTTACAGTAAAGCAATATACTTCAAAGAAGTTTCTTATTGAGGGTCTTGGAGAGAATGCTTTGAGTTACAGCCCCTTACTCTGAGGCACACCTATGATCCTTTAGTTTACTTAGGAATAGTTCGCTGAAGAGGTTTGAGAAGCAGCAATGCACATTATTTTATTCAATCACCAAAACTCTGAGATATGTGCCATCATCTACAACTGGTCCTTTCAGCCTCATTTTTCCCCCTCAGGAAATGTCCATCTCCTTTAGGGTTGGCATAGATCCTTTCCCTCTGCTGGGTTTTGATAATTCTCTATAAATTAAAGTACTGCCTGCATTAGGAATCCAAGAAAGGGAGAATGGATGAGTAATAGGATTTTTGAGGATATGCAGAAGTAAAGTGTATACTCCCTAAAATTTAAACTTAAAATTGAAGTTTTTAGAAGATTATTGTTTTGATATGAAAATGAAGAATATAAAGCCTCTTCCTACTATTTCCCTGCTAAAACTAACTTGGGGGAATCTACAATTACTATAGCTGATATGTGACAGAAGGCTTTTACACCATTTGCAGTCACTGACTGCAAGTGCTATTCATGGGTTTACACCTTAAAAAGTACACACACACACACACACACACACACACACACACACACACCCTTCTAATTGAAAAGAGATCTTGATGACATGGTGGGGCATACATTTTAAATGAAAATTATTTTGTAAACAATGCCTACACTGTATGAATTTCAGACAGGCATTTCAGCAAACATTTATTGTTCCTGTATAATAATGTGCCTGCCACTGGGCTGGGTGTGTCAATCAAGCTTCCACCAGAAAAACAGAACTGTATTAAGAAATTTAACCATATTAAGAAATTTATTGCAAGGAATTGGCTTACATACTTATGGAGGCTGGCTAGGCAAGTCCACAATTCATAGGGCAGGCCATGAGGAAGGGCAGGGTGGAAACTTGCAGACAGTAGCTGACCTGCTGTCCACAGGTAGAATTTCTTCCTCCTCAGGGAAACCTCAGTTCTGCTCTTAAGGCCTTTCAACTGATAATATCAGGCCCACCCACATTGTGGAGAATCATATCCTTTGCTTAAAATCAACTGAGTGTAGATGTCAGTCACATCTACAACACAGCTTCACAGCAACGCCCAGATCAGTGTTTGACTGAATAACTGGGGAAGATAGTCCAGCCGAGTTGACACCTAAAGCTATCATGCCCAGCAATTTAAAAGTTGTCAAGAAAACATACAGTTGTCAGCAGGGAGCTTATAATTTAGATGGGTGATAATAATCTTCACCAGACAAAATGCCTGGATTATAAGGTCCTTTATTATTTCTGGGGAGTGATATGATAAAAAAATATTGATATTTGAGTTGGAGACCTGAGTTTGAGACCTTTATCTCCCTTTAGTAGCTTGGTAACATTGGAGAAGACACGCAGCTCATGTGAGCTTCAGTTTTCTGACCTGAAAAATAAGAATGGCTAACCTGCCCCTCAGAGGGTTGCTAGCTGGGCTGTTTGCTGGGTGATAGTGGTAGTATCTTCAACAACCTTATTCAGATGTGAAGTATTGGGCAACAGCATTAACAGAGAGAACATGTGCTTAGTGTTTTCCTGTGAGCTTCAAATGGATATAAAGAAAATGCACAACATCTGATTTTAGGTGAAACCTGAACATTTTAGTCACGTAGTGTGTTACTAATAACATTTAGATGTTACTAATAATTTCGTATTTAGTGATGGACTTTGCCCTCCTAGCTAGCCAAGTTGTGCTCTGTGATATATGCAAGTATTTATTTTTTAAGTTTTTAGAATTCAGACTGTACAGGGAAGCTTTTAGTTTCTGGGTGTGAATGATGAATGGAGGAATTTAGGTAACCCCATGTCTGAATTGGAGAGGTTCATTATATCTGCTTAATGTGGATTTATAAAGGACTGGAACAAAAAATTTATTCTAAGTTTTTAATAATTTTTTCTTTGATTATACAAAAGATGTTTGAAAAACCATTGGCCATTTGTCTATTAAAGAAATAGAATTTTATCCAAACTTAATAGGGTGTTTTATACTTGATTTTCCCTGAGAGGGAGGGTGGGAAAGCATTAAAGCCAGTATTTTCTTTCATATTTGTCTTAGAGTCTGCATGACCTGACAGCAATAAATGTAAATGGAAGGTTCAGGGTGTCTGTTTTACCATGACATATAAAGACCACCTTGGGACTTACATCATTAGCATGACTTTGAGACGTGAAACATGCATTTACTGACCGCACCATTTGGTCACATTTGATTGTGTTGCAATTAGATCCTGCTCCGTTCTGTAAGCTGGCCAACTTTAATTTCCGGGCCAGAGCAGACTATTGTTACCTTAGTAAGACTATATTTACTCTTTCTGTCTAATGCACACTTTATTGCTATACATGGAATCAATGTATTCAAATAGAAGACATCACTTGTAGAAATTGCAGTGTTTTACTTACTAGTGTTCTTTCTCTTTTAGTCTAGTTTAATTGACCTCAAGGAACATGCATCTTCATTAGCCTCAGCAGGGCTGAAAAGGGACTCTAAATTAAAATCTCTAGAAATAGCCATTGAACAAAAGAAAGAAGAATGTAGCAAACTGGAAGCACAGTTAAAAAAGGTAAGTGAAGCCTAAGGAAAAAAATGTTCATTTTATAATGAATTCATAAAACGGGAAAGGAAAAGAAACAAACGCCTTATCTTTTGCTGTCTGCTGATAAAAGAATTAAACACTCTCTAGTCCTAAGAAGTCTGTATCGAATCTGTCTGTGAACCTGAAAAATTATCTCAGGTTTCCTGTCTGAAAAAAATCTTAAAAAATACATGAAAATAGTAGTGGAAGGAAAAAAAAATAAAAGCCAGCCATCACTCGCTGGGCAAATCTCAACTATCAGAAGAGATAAATGGAAATATTTACAACAAACCAAGGAATCCAGAGGCTCGATTATATATTTATAAACTTTTCCTACTTTTATAAATAGGTCAGTTTTTCTATTGGAGCTTTGCAAAGTTTACCTGGCAACATTAAATTTCTAGAAGTTCACCAAAGTAGTCAAGTCCCTGGAATACCTGTGGGATGACTATTTATACTTGACCTGAAATGGCCCTAATTTCTAAGAAAGCTTGTTTTATGTAGAAGGCTTTGGAAAAGAATGCAGGATCTTCATATTGCAGCATTAACATGTTTTCTCTGAGCTGGACATTTTTGTGGAGTACATTTCCAGTCATGCATTGTTCCTTTGACTTTTCCCTGTGTTGTTTGGTATGTCTGCATTCATTGTTTACATAAAACTCATAACATTATGAGTTTAAGCATTTTGTTTCCCTTTGACAACTTATAAATTTATTCAAAGGAGATAAGAATCTAAAAAATGAAACAAAGCATATAATAAAATTTGACTATGTATAATTCACAGCACATTGGAATGGGGATTTATTTGCTAAAGTTATGAAAATACATGCTATGGATGATAGGGATGTGAAAGCATTATTTATCTGTGGAGAAATTATTCTGAATATCTTAAAACTTAATATACTATTTTGTATGATGCAATATATAATGGAAATGTGATTATGCTATGTTCACTTTACCATTGAATTTTAGGAAATTGTCATGAGAAATTTCACACTAATAAAGTCTCCTTACCAATACAGAAAGATAAATATACAGATCAAATCCCTTTGCAACAAAACAGCAAGAAAGTCTCTCTATTGCAAAATCTATATCCCAATTGACTCAAAAACTCATTTTTTTCAAGCAATATCTAGTTAAGCAGATATCTTGAACAATAAATCTTGAAGTATTTCAATTGCCAATTTGAGAATGTTTAAATGGAGACTGAGTTGGCTATATGCACTAGGTGTATGATACTCATTCTCGACACACATATGAATGTGTCCTGCAATGTTATACATGCACATGCACAGGAAGAAATGTGTATTGTTGTTTTTTTTTTTAATGAACAGTTTTGCAATCATAAATCAGGCTCGAAGATAACTCTGTGGAAGAGAGAACTTCATTGGCTCCCTTTGGTGGTCCTTTGTATTATCTTACCTCAGTTGTATTGTGCTGAGTCCTGAAGAAGAAGGACCTCAAATAGACCTGGGCATGATAGATTCCCTTCATCAACTCTAAAGAGCCATTATGCAGATGCGAGCACTCCATATATTATTTTTCTAGACACCCTTCTAGTGTAAGTCATTTATGGAACACCCTTCTAGTGTAAGTCATTTATGGAATTTGAAATCCAATAGTAATTAAAAGGAAGAGGTTCATGTACTGATGTTTATAGTTTCTATGTATATGACTTGACTAGTTTAATAAATTAACATCTATGCAATTAAATTTAGTGTCTTTCAATATAGCTATGCTTTGCCCGAGAAATCATTTAGAGCATGTGGTTCCTTTAACTCACAGGTAGACACCACGTACTGAACTTCACAAATCAAATTCTGTAAACACCTTAGCATTATTCCTGAGAACACTTTAATGTTCTGCCATATCACTAGACTTAAAGTAACAAATATGGTTGTCTTACTGTAAAGGACCTATTTAATTTATGAAAAGATAACTTATTTCTAAGTATATAAATAATCTTTGCTTATACTATCTCCTAAATGCATAGTTCAGTGAGATTAAATAAGGTAATTATAATTTAAATATTTTCATACCTATCCTGCAGATGCTGTTTTGTTATTTTTGGCTCTCTAGCATCAACTCAATTCAAAAGTTTAAAATACTTTTTCTAGTAGTCTTTAATTTCTGCTAATAAATAGTTCCGTAAAAACCTCAAGTACCCATCACCTTAAAAAGAATTGAGATCTACATGAAATATTTGAAAATATAAGCCAACAGTATGTGAATATACATATAAACACATCATTTACTCATGGAAAAATAAGCAGCTATAAAAGCTTAAGGAGTGTCTGGGCCTCCCTTTAAATAAAAGGGTATGTGACTTGTGAATAAAATATAAAGGGTTACTAAATGAAAGCTGAAAACATAATAGTTTTATTATGTCATAAATAAACCATGAATTCCCAGTGGAATTTTGCTTAAGATTTGTGAGCGTCCAGGTATTTTTGCCATAAAATCTGCACAACGTAGATGTGTTTAGCTGAACAGAAACTTTGTCTACCAGTGACAATGGAATCCAAATGTTGATTTAAATTTTTTTTTTTTGTCTCATAAACAATTCTTGAAATTGGTAAAGTGAGTGATCTTATAGGTTTGTGGAAAACATTCATTTGCATACATAATTGTTTTTAACCCTTTACTATACTATGTTAATTTAAAACATTTCCAAATAGCAATACTTTATGATGAAAAATGCTTATGGGCAGAAAGGGAACTATTTATTACACATTCCATCTGACATCTTAAAAACAATGCAATGAAATGTTCACATGTGAGGAAATCTTTACTGTTAGGTTGATAAAATGGTACTAATCAAATAATCCATAGCTACTAGTTCTGAGTAGTGCTTTATAAGTTAGTGCATTCATTCTTCTGAAATAAACACCTAGGAGTTGAGAAGAACCAATTAGTGATAATATGGATCAATTTGTCTGTCGAGAATATTTGGTGTTCAATATGTGGATATAAATTTACCTTACATGACTAGAAATTAATTAAGAAGCTACTGTAATTTGCAATGTTATGATTCATGCTCTTTGTTAATTTCCAATTAATATTATCTTTGAGGAAGGTGTTTTTTTAACCATAGCAAAATTATCATTTATTTTATTAAAGTGGAACAAACAAAAAAATTCAGGCCCTTCAAAGGCACACGTCTTAGAGTAAAGCAAACATTTTCTATAATAGTTTGCCTTCTACACCTTGATGTTGAGCCCCAAATTACTGATGCAGTTATTTAACAACTATAATTTGATAGTGCTATTTAAAATAATATTTAGTTTAGTTAAATCTGCAAACATTTAACTCTTCTACACAAAATAGACAGGAGAGCATTACAGATTCTTAAGCACTTAGAACATAAAAGGATAGTTAATAAAATTATATTTTTATTAATTATGAGCTCAAAGTAGAAACTGGTAATGAGCAATTGATAATACTGTATTTTGGTTCCCTTTATTTTTCCTACTGACTTAAATTTTTACTTCTCACATTTACTGTTAATCCTGTAATGTCTTGCTTACTGGAATTGTGCTATTGCTAACCTGCTGTTTGCTGATCTATGTTTTTCTAAAGTTAGACTGAATAGAAAATTCAGGCTTGTGTTAATATAAAAGAAGAGCTATATATTCAATGATAAGATTTAATTAATCTTTTATTATTACCATCTTTGAAGTTCAGGTAATAAATTGCAAGTTTGGCCAAAAGTACTTCTTCTGATTCATTGCTAGAGGCCAGCACTTCATGTATCATCAAAAGTGGACAGCTTTCTTTATTTCATGGGTTATTTAACTTGAGAAAGGGAAAGTAACACAAACCTTAAATTTCTTATTCCAGCTATTCTTTTCTAGGAGCCAAAATCAACATTTCTATTTCCCTAGAGCCTCTCACTTTTGCTGTGGAATGTTTAGAAACTGATTTTTTTTTTCCTTTTTAACGACCAGTCGTCTGTGCAAATGCACTGGATTTGTTGAGCTAATGCTGTTTTTCTGGATCTTTCCTTCTTTCCCTGTCTGTGCTTCAATGCCTCCCCAACTTTGCAATGTAGCAAGCTGAGCAGTTGTTCAATCAGATGTACAACCCAGTAAGTCATTTCTAAACGTTCCCGCTGTAACATATCAAAGCATGAGGATCTATTGATCACATGTCACGGTGTGCTATACTGGGGAGTTTTCGAAAATATTTATGAGTGTCTTCCCATTTCCATTTTGTCAGAAGAAATGACTTACGTATAGTCCACTGTCATTTCTTTTGAATGTGAAATTTAAAACCAAGAAATCAGAGAAATATTGCCAGTTTGAATATTACCTCCATCTTAACTTCAAGTCTAAGGCTGTAGAAAAGCAGAGGTCAGTGGCAGATCTAGGCTCATGGAGTTCTTTCTTAGGTCCTTAAATGCATACTTACCTAGCAAACAACTCAATATATATTACATTCAAATGATGGAAGTTAAGATAGGTTTAGATTTAAAAATAAAACATTGCTCTTTGAGATTGGTAAATGCCTAACATTATTGTGGGTTTCATAAGAGTTAAAAACATGTCATTTGGCTGAGGACAAGCTAAAATATAGCCTCTTAATAACAGATAGTAACAATTCTGGTTATAGCTTAATAGTACAAAAACAGGTAACTACTAAAAATATGTGTAAAATGGCCAAGATGTCATCACTGATTTTTTTATCCTAATGACAGGTATGCATTAATATGAAAAAGTTTATTTGTTTCTTTAACATATTAAAGGGGGGCTTTTTTGTTTTGCCAACTCAAGAGTCTTACTGGGAGAAATATTCTATAAGGGTGACCAGAATCTGTCATTTGGCAGGTGTGGTCTGAGCCATCATGTATTCTAATTACCTGCTATTTATAAATTCCCATCATAGGGAACAGGAATAGTATGGATGAAGGAAACAATTCAACCGACAACTTTTTGTTAAGCCACTGCTCCAAAATAAGTCCCACATGATACATGAGATGTATTTAATTA